TCTGCCTTTCTTGGACAGGACCACCATGCTCAGGCTGGTCCAGGTCTGTGCCTCCTGCATCTCTGACCTCGTTCTCCTGCACACGATGTTGGGCACTGAGTGTTGGACCTCCTGTCCAAGCAGCATCTCTCCTGACCCTCCGTGGGTGTCTGCTTCTGTCCACTCGCACTCTGTGGCTTTGCTTCTCGGCACAGACCAAGACGGACTCTCTGGGCAAAGCCCGACCTTTCCCGAAGCCCAGGTTTCTTGCTCGCTGCCTCTGGCTAGAGTTCAAAGTCTGCCAAATGTTGGGCTCAGGCATGCCGATTTTCTCCTGGGGCTCCATGGGACCAAGTCCCGGGGTGGACGCTGGATGCTCCGGAGGAAGGTGAGTGACAGTCACCGCAGACAGGATCATCAGGAGGCAGAACGCCATCACTGACTGCTTCTTGCCACGAAGCCTTCTCCAGAGCCAAGATGCCTGAGGATAGGGTAGCAAAGAGAGCGTGAGAGCTGGGAAAGTCACCAACTTCAAACCACAGAACAGTGAGGGCAGTGAACAGTGCACAGGGGACAGGAAGCTACAGCAGGACACCTAGCTGCCCCACAAGGTGGGACGTGACAGCCCGGCCAACTCTCCCCCAGCTTCAGAGCTTCACCGATCCTTACAGACAGACCTGGACTTCTCTGGGTTTGATGCCACAGTGCTTACCACAGTGGTTACCATGCCTCCCTGCAGACTCCGCCCACATCCACAAGTCTCTACTCACCAGCTAGTGCTGACCCCGTTCCTTTTGATTCTGTAGTCTTTATGACCATTCCAAACACACATACAAATAAAGCATCCATAGGAAGAAAATCAGAGCAGTGGGCTCAGCCGTGGAGAGCACATGCTGGACCTGAGTTCAGTTCTCAGCACCCATGCTGGGCAGCTCACAGGTGCTTCTAGCTCCACTATCATGAGACCTGGTTCCTTCTTTGAGCCTCCATGGGGTACCCATACTCACACAGAAACACACATAAATGCATACATACACACACTTTAATTATTTAATAATTAATAATTTAATAATTTAAAATATTTAATTATTTAATAATTCTTTAATTATTTATTTTTATTTCATTTGCATTGGCACTTTGCCTGCACATATGTCTGTGTGAGGGTGTCAGATCTTGGAGTTAGTGACAGTTGTGAGTTGCCGTGTGGGTGCTGAGAATTGAACCCGGGTGCTCTGGAAGAGCAGTCAGAGCTCTGGACCACTGAGCCATCTCTCTAGCCCTTAAATCTTTAAAAAATAAAAAGTGCAGAAAATTGGAGAGAAAACCTCCTTTTCCACATAGGAAGTCATGGCCCTAATCTGGGGTGTGCCACACAATATTCTGCTGAACACCCAGTGTGCACTTCCCTGCAGAAACATCTGAGAATGTCTATAATGGCACCAAGAGGAGTTGTGGGGCCCCACTTCCCATCATCCCTTGCCATAGTATGGGAACGCCTTTAATCATCAGAACAACCGGAGAAATTGGGGCTAGGTAATTCGTATTTAAAAGTGGAGAGCAGGAAGGTCAGGCCAGTAATCAGAGATGGAAATATTCAGATAACTCTGAGAGAGGAGATGAATCCACGAGAACGTTTGTTTGGATTCTCCTCCTTCTAAAATCAAAACAAACGATGCATTTTCAAGTTGAATTCATAATCTGTGTTCTCAAAGGGCTGGATACCCTCAGGAATAATAAATCCCCTTCGACGATGGGCTGAGAAAATGGGCTGTTTGGGTCCTGCAGTGGCCTTACTTGGCTTCAGGAAACCTGGGGGGAGTTGGCAGTGGTACAGAGGAAGGCTCAGATGGCCGTGAGCAGATGTCACTGCAGGGCCACACATGAAACTTCAGGAAGAGAAAAGTGATTTGAAAAGGCAAGGAGAGTCTATGGCAGAACCTGAGCTGACCTCCCTGCCACTCTCCTGCAGATTCTCAAGAACCTGTGTGCTGCTGGCCCTGAGAGGATTGTGGTGGGGAAATAACAAGAAATAGCTTGCTCTCCGCCTGGCTCAGCATTGGCTCTCCTCTCAAATCCCCATCCACTATCTGCCACCAGGATGCCTTTCAGTTCCTGCAGGGAACAGGCCTTGAGCCAATAGCTACATCCTCCCAGAGCTGCAGAAGAGAGGCAGAGCCAGAAAACTCACAGCCCAGGCACCCTGGGCCCAGGTCTGAGCTTCCAAAACTATGAACAATGTGCAAGACTCACACCTCTGTCCCTGTGACTCAGAAGATTGAATGGGATTGCTGCTCCCTCCAATGGACCATGTGAGGGTTAAATGAATCAAACTATGCAACAGGACTACTGCACCCTTCCTGTGAGTGTTGGGGTCACCACTGCACCCTGCCTGTGAGTGTTGGGTTCACCACTTCACCCTGCCTTTGAGTGTTGGGGTCACTGCTGCACCCTTCCTGTGAGTGTTAGGGTCACCGCTGCACCCTTCCTGTGAGTGTTGGGGTCACCACTGCACCCTTCCTGT